TGGGCACAGCCGTTCCCTGCCACCGGCTGCCGCTTGGACAGTGAAACCTGCCCACCAGGGAAGCGTTATCCAGGGGAGGGAGGTCGGCGCAGATGCTGTGGAGCGGTGACCGGCTGGGGGCGACGCATCCCGGCATTAGCACTAAACCATCTGGCCTGCCCTCGCCAAGGCCTGGCCCCAGAGCCGTCTGGGAACAGGTCACAGCTGTGGACCGTCTTCACCCCAACCACAGAGCTGAGCCCAGGGAGCCCTGCAGACCTCAGCGGCATCAGCCACTGGGCCAGAGAGGTTTCCTGGGGGTAAAACATCTCCAAGGTGAAAGGAATTTGGGGAAGGGGTGATAGGAGACAAGGGGCAGATGCTCATGGGTGAAGGATGGGGCCTTTAGGGAGGACAGTGAGGAGCTCTGCTTTGAAGGACTGTGGCAATGCTGCGGCTCTGGGGAAGGTGCAAGTTCGAAGGTGAGATGGGGGGTTAAAGGCTGCAAGGAGACAGGAAGGGACAACTGGAGGCGAGCGAGGAGGACATGACCTGATCCAGAGTCCTTGCCCCACGCTGCAGCGTTAGTGGAAGGCTTCCACCTCGAAGGCCAGCATCCCGCACAAGCTCTCTCCCGGCATCTCAGCCAAGCCATCGCGGCCTCCCCGAGCCCGAGGAACGCGCTGCCCGGCTCAAGGACCCACGGCCACTCACCTGAGGTAGCCTAGCTCACCCACATGGCGCCAGGCTGGCTGGGCGCTGCCCAAAGCCCCTGGCTTTGACGGTGTCACGCTCTTGGCCTCACTGTCCTCTGGGGACCGTCACTCCTCTGGTGCCCGCAGGACCACGTTTGCTGCAAGGCGGCTGCCGGCTGCTGCTGCCCGATGCATATTTGATGACTGCTATTATTCTCATCTCCACTCACGAGCAGAGAGACGGGAGCTAATCGCCCCTGTGCAGAGCCAGGGAATATCAGGGATGGAGCGGCTGGAGGAGCGAGGGCCAGTCAGCTCTGTCCCGGTCCCTTCCTTCCCAGGGACGCAGCTAGACGGTCCCGCAGCCCCTTCCCTCCTGGGGTGTAGACAGATCAGCATCATCTCTCAAGGTCACGCACATCGTCACAAACAGCTGGTGAAGGGCCCTGACCCACTCCTTCCCCTCAGCTGAAGCAGATCTGGGAAGAGAAATCACAGCACCCCACGCATGACCCTCTCCAAAGGAGGGCAGGACCGGACGGGCTCTCCAGCCACCCCCAGGCCTGGCACAGAGAAGGGATCTAGATGGAGGCATCAGCTCCCCTTATCTCGACAGTACTGGTGCCCTCTCCACCCTGGGATGAGCAGAGTGTTTCCCCGCTGCCACCTTCAGCCTGAGATCAGCAGGCCAAAGAGCGTTTGAAAAGCTTCATCCTCCTCCCCAGCACTGGGTCCTGCTTCATGGGGCCGGGACCGTCAGCCGGGAGCGAGCGCTGCCGGCACGGGGTCCACAGCCTTCCACGCGCTGGGGCACCGGGAGCGAGCGCTGCCCAGCCCGCGCCGGGAAAATCTCAGCTTGCTTTTCCTTTCTCCCCAAGGGGCGAGCCCCAGCTCAGGCTCCTCCAGGCAAAGGCGAACTCTGAGCTGCATCCCTGCAGCAATGCGGTGGGTATTTATTATGCTGATTCCTCAGAAAGCGAGGGCTTAACTGCAAATTACAATCAATAGCCCCAATCCCCAAGGGGCGGGTTCATCATTTAGCAGGCACAACCAGAGGAATTCAAAAGTATTTGCCAGCCATAAATCCTCCTCTCTGGCTCTACACAACGCGTGATGGCTGGTTGGGGGTGACCCTTGTCAGCATTTGAAACAATTAAGCTGTCACTGCGGATCGTGACTCTTATATACAGCCCTGAGCAGCGCTTTAAGATGTCAGCGTGATGGGGTGAGGGAAGCTGGCTGAGGCAAGCCCACAGCAGTAACTGTCTCTCATTGAATTAAATGAATGTATTTGGAGTCAGAGTCTCTTTTTATTACCTTGCAAACGATTCCTGACTAAATTAAATTATAAAAGGAGTGTTCAGCCAATCAAACCTGCTTGATTGCCTGGAACAGGCATTTTAAACAGAGCACGCCTTGGGCCTTCACTGTTTCCAGGACTAGATGGAGGGTAGCTGATGGACTGTGTCAAATCCGATCCACTCCACTTCACACCTGGAGCGTCACTCTGCAGCGACGCGCAGCTGCGCTCCACAAACAAAGCCGGCCCAGGGACAAGGCGGGAATCAGCGCAGCCCTTCGGGAGGTGGGCACAGTGCTAATGAAACCAGAGCAGGCTGAAAGAGCAGAGAAACGGCAGAGGGCTGCAATGCAGAACAGCAGCCGGCAATCCAGCCAGGCTGCTGAGGGCAGATCTGCCTCCTCGGAAAGTCTCATCCAGCTAAGCCTTCCCTTCTGCGTCGGAAAAGGCAGCATCGTGCTTCTTGGGGGGCAAAACCACAGCTCCTGCCCGCTAGAATGAGCGGCACCCCCTCCTCCTCGATGGGAAAGAGCGCTTGCTTTTCCCCAGGAACGCTCAGCAAAGGGTCTCTGACCGCATCCCCCCTCGCTAGCTCTCTCACGCAGCTAACAAGGGGTCTGACCGATTCCCATCGGCCTCAGGAGGCGGCTCTAGGAGCTAAATCAGGCTCTGAAGCAATACTAACGCTGGAGTAGACTTTCCCCCCTCAGTACCTTGCTTCTCCAGGATTGGGAGAGATCTTCAGGCAAACCTGCTCTTGCACTGAACTGCAGTGTTTGCAGCTTTTAATGTCAGTGTGTAGAGCACTTAGGGAAGCCGTCTGGAAGAATGAACACAGTGTGCAATTAAATGCACGTATTTCCAGATACAGCTTCAAACTTGTCTGCAAAAAAAAAAAAAGCTACTCTTGCTTAAAAAAAAGAAGTTAGCTTCTTTGATTTAACTGTTTTTACTCCTTCCCTATACCAAGTTTAATCACACATCAGTTCATTCTGAACAGGATAAGAAAACGCCTAATTTCTTAAATGAAGAATGAGGCTAATTAGATGGAGGTTTTTAACAACGGCCCACTGGACCACTCAATTTGAAACTGGAGCACGCTGAGAGGTAGGTACTAACTGAATAAGAACATGTATTAGAACATAATACTTTGCATTTCAGATTCACGCAAGCATCATCCATTTTCCCATTCTACACACTACCTGGCTTGAGGATGAAGCAGAGTTAGCAATTCTGGCTGTCCGTTTCTTACGCTGGGCCATTGCAGGCCCCTTGGTTTGGGGTTAAAAGTCAGAAACCTCAGGGACAAACTGAAACCAAAAGAACTCTTTGTGCAGGAAGCTCTGCCTGTGCAACCTTCACAGGAAACTTAAAGGGCAAGTTAATGTGCTGGAACGGCATCCCACCCAATTCACACAGAGAAGCGCCTGCTTTCTAAAGTCAGCTCAGGCATAATGCAGCTAATTTGGAGCTCATTCTCCGCTAGGTTCCACCACGGCCGGGATTTGCTCTGCATTCCAGCTGTGAGCAAAGTCAGGAACAACAAAGGGAAACTACAGAGTTCAAAGTCACCTTCTTAGCTTGGGTATTGTGTATATTATCTATTTAGCTCCCATCACACCTCATCTAGGTCCTTTCCAACCTCAGAGCCACTCTCTCAGCCACTGCACAACCTATTCCACCCTACAGCCTCTTGCAACAGCATCCAGGCAGGGTTCCTCAGTTGACCAAAGGTAGAAAAGAGATCTAGAAAACACAACAAACTATCTAACAACTGCAGGTAGACATGTACAATTCACATGAAATAGCAACTTTTATTTTCTCAAATAAAATATTCCTTCCATTTCTGTTTGATTACTTTGGGAAGGGTGGGGAGGAGCACAAAAGAGAGGGAAGGGGCCCGGCTCAGACAAGTCTGCTATCAGACTTGTCCTCGCAGTTAAGAGCCCACATCAGACTGAACCCTTTTTCAATGAAAGAAAATAAAAGCTATGTGCAGCTCTTGATCCTAGAAGAAAAGAGCTGTTCTCTATCAGGCACTCCAAACTGGTAAGCATCAATATTCAATGAAAAAGCATGATTAGAAAAATCCCCAAATTCCGATGAAAAATATCCATACAAGCAATATTATTTAACAGGGCTGGGGTGAAACCCTTGGCATGGGATGGTACTTCAGGCTCAAAGAGCTGTTAACGGAATTTAGGTGCATGACTGAGAAAGAAGCAGATCTCCAGCAATACTCTTGGGGACTAATGGACAGGATAAGAGCAAAGTAGTAAACTCCCAAGGTAACTTCTTGGACCAATGATATGCCGGAAGTAAATCCTCACTGCAGCCTATGGCTCTTTGATCGTACCTTGCTGCAGTTTGGCCAGGTCAATCATTCCTTAGCAAGGTTTCATTTCTCACCTCTCTTGGTAGTACCAATCGGACCAGATGTCCTATAAACCTTACTGCAGAGCTAACACGAGGCACCGAGTGCCAGGTTTTAATATAATTGAGGTGAGACCATTATCAATTAGCTGAGGGTCGTCTCAGATACAGAGACTGAAGTCGCCCTCGGTGGAAGCTGTAGAGGCAACATGTCCAGCGAGCAGGGGAGGGAGAACTTTGTTTCCACTTCAGATATTTCCATTTCAAATGCTTACATTAAATGAATGGACACACAGCAAAACATCAGTAACACTCCCCCAGTCCTGGTTTCCCTGTCCCAAAGCACCGGGCCAAATTTGCTCGCACAAACCCATAAACTTCCCACTGGTTGAGCAAACCACTGGAAGGTTAAGAGATGGACACGCATGCAAACCCTGCTAGGGGCAGGAGGTTGTTAGCTCTAGGCGCTATGTCCTAGAAGAACGGGCTCCTTTTTTATTTAGGAGATATTACCTCACTTGAAACGCTGCAAGATGGAAACCCATCTCTCCCATCCCCACCTGCAAGTAGAGTAGCCTCATTCTCTGCCTTTCTCCAAGGGAACGAGCTTCACAGAAGCATTCTTGCTTTCTTGGCTGTGGAACACATCTCCCTTTTTTCTTTTTTTTCTTTTTTGTTTTGTTTTGCTTTTATGTGGTCAGTTCCAATTCTAGTGATTAAGACAAGGCCAGGCACCAGCAAAGAGCAGCAAAGAGGGTTACTTCTTGACAATCTGAATGACATCTTCATGCTCCATCATATGAGTTAAGCCCACTCTTTGAGGACTGTATTTTGTGCTTGTCCCCTTTAAAGCAAAAGGAAGAGGGGGTTAGGAGCAAACCTGTCAGAGCGGCAGAAGGACAGGGATTTCACTGGCTGTTACGCACTTACCCACACCAAGGCATATTTGAACTGGCTGGCTAATGATCTGTGAATTCGATGGCACTGCAAGACAGACAGACAGATTATTAGACAGTTTAGTGATGCTATTTTGCAAACAACTTGCTTAATACCCAGGAACTAGAAGCAACTCAGATCCAGGTCAGAAATTACAGCAGTGACTTTAGGAGCCAGTTAACTGGCTTTTTCCAGCACTTTAAAGAATACAGAACAGAAATACAGGAATTACCAGTCCACATAAATCCCCATTCACTACTTCCAGGTGCTTTTTCATTGGCCTGCATTAAGTAGCTTTTGTTCTCTCCCATTTATTACAAACATTAGCAGCTAGGAAAGAAACCCAAGGCAGATGAAACAAGTCAAGATAACAAAAGGAGAAGCCCAACAAAATATTGACACATCCCAACCTTTACAAAGCACAAATATACCACAGCAGACTCCAAGAGGATCCTGCCTTCTGCTGCCAAGTAAATGTAAAAGATACGAGAAATTACCACATGCTCCACAGAGGCCCCTTTCCGTAGAATAATGGCATCTGTGAAGTCTGGTCTCTCTATGGGAAAGCAGAAGAGAGGGGAAAAAACAGCACTGGCTTTCCATCAAACGTGTTCTAACATGCCGACACCATCTCACGTTGCTTTGTGCTTAATACTCCCAAATTCCTCCTCACTTGCGAGCGGCCTCCCAGACAGAACAGCCATCCAGGTACTTGATCAAAGCATCAAACTGGTTCTGAAGACACTCCAGTACCCACAAGCACGGTTACCCATATCACACAGTCAACTGCTTCCTCACAATTCACCTGCTCCAACTCCATTCCAAATACTTGTCTTAAACGACAAGCAAAAAAGCCAAAGTCAAAACACACAAGCCTAATTTAAACGGAACCACTCGGGACTTTTCTGTAAAATCCCCAAGGTTTCACAGCTTAACAAGCTCACAGACAGTTCCTTACTCTCCTCACATCCACCCAGTTCAGAGTCACAGCCACCCACAACCAAACAGGAGAAAGGTCTTTGAAAGGGAAGAAGCTATAGATGTGCCTTCACCACTAGACAAAGCTGCAAGTGAGCTGTAAAGCAAAAGAAGGGTTCAAAGGCACGGCTGAGCCTCAGGAGCCCAGCATGGGAATCACCAGACCTCCCCCAGAGGGAACAAGAGACCTTTTCTGGGTAGCAATCACCTGCACAGCTCATCACAGAGTGTACATAATAGCTATTCAAAGAGGGAAAACAAGAACTTGCAAACTTTATTTCCTTATGTTATTATCATGCAAAGTCTTGTGAAAATTCAGCCCTTCTACTGTTAAGAGAGAACAGGAGGGCTGTAATGGGATACACGCAAGGCTGGGTCAGATGGAACAAAAGCATTTCCCAAGAGCTAACGCTGAAGACTGGTCAGGAGAGTGTAATTGCAGCACCTCCAAGACAGAAGAGATCCCAGACAGCCAGGCATTCAAACACCTCTGGCAGCCTGTGCGTGCTTGGTGCCCACCAGCCCTTTGTGCTTTTTCAAACCCTCAGTTCAGCTAACGTCCGCTTACGTCCTCGTTTCTTGGTGTAGATGCAGGTAAGCGCAAGGTATTCCCAGAGCTTCTCCAGCAAGTAATCCAGATTCAGTTTCATGCCACAGCTGCAAAACACCACAAACATCTCAGTGTTTACTGCTGCTGTGATTTAGAGACCCAGAAGAGCAAGCTGCAACAGCTTATTAAAGTGCTAGGGAACAAGGGGAAAAGTGTCTAATGAGGTCAGTAGAGGAAAAACACAAGGTGAAACAAACAGAGCTTTCAGAGCGGAAAGCAGCTTTGAAGCAGCAAAGCCCCAGTCAGATATATCAGTACTTCTAAGGGAACGAGCTAGACTGGTTTATTCTGGCCTGCAGACAGTGTGAGGCAGCCAGGCAGCCTCCCTCTCCAGGGGAAGGCAGCCCTGAAAATGCTGCATTGCGGCCCTCTATTTCTCGCCCCAGCAGCCAGAAGTGGCCTAGGGAGAAGCTCCTCCTTGGAGGAAAAGCTAGAGAAAGGGGTGTGAAATGAACGACCAAACTGTCTGGGCCAATGCATAAAACAGCCATAAAATGCCATAAAACAGCCTTATGACAGCCATAAGCAATCCTACCTGATTACAACACTGTGGGGTCTCCGAGCAAGACGATCCACCTCCTCCATAGATATCTGGTCAATCTTGTTATAAACCTAAGCCAAAGGAAAAACAATATAGCCTTCAGGAAATCAATTCAGCAACTCTATAAGGAAGGAAAACGCGTACATGCAAGTGTAACAAGGCAGTTCTGGCATTTGGTACAGAAACACAGATCATGCCCAACAGAGGGTGGGCCAAGGTTTTTAGTAGAATAAACTGCTAAGGCTCAGAAGCCTAAACATAAGTTTGGGCCTTCTAGAGTTCTCTGCTTGGGATGGCTTGGGATATATTCTCCAGCATCTTGGATTTCATTATAAACCCAGCCACTATCAAGCAGCATCGTTAAGTGAATTCCGGCACACAGGATCGTTCATGAAAAATCAAATGCAGAACTTGCAGCAGCACCTGTGCCATGCAAGCAAACCCCATGCCACCAACACACACAGCTCGCTGCTGCTCCACGGCAATCAGCCACAAGAGGGCACAGGGAACACACATACAGTGCAGCCGCACGCGTAAAAGTTAGTAAAAAGCTCCCTGTTGAGTAGTGTTTTCTACCTCTTTAACCCTCAAATGCTACTGCTTTAGGAACCAGGAAGGCCTAGAGTTTACTTCAGCAAAGAACGGTCTCGCTCAAGATCAGTCAGTGCCAGGAGATGCTTGGTGCTGTAGCAGGCAGGCTGTTTCTGAGATACTCACATAGAGGCACGGCATATAGACCCTGTTGCCTACAATCACGTCGATGAACTCATCAGGAGAACAATCCTCTCTAAAGAGAACCTCAGCATTGAAGATTTCTGAGGTGAACGTTGTCAAGGCCCAGAACCCAACGCTTCTAAACACTGCTACGAGCCAACTGGCTGAGCTTGCTTGGACGACTGGGAAATGGAACAAGGAAGGGAAAGAACCAGCCAGGCTTGTTCTTAACCCAGCAAGCACCAAAGAGACACAGAAAGGCATAGCCCCACAGCAAGTACCACTTGACTCGTGAGACGCTGATCTGGAGCTCAGGAAAGGATACTATATTCATGGAGGATGAGCTGTACCAACTTTTCAGAGCACTGAGTCAACGTTACAGTCGAGTTGAAGGAGATGCCTCCACCCTTTTTCGGCTGCAGAAAGGGGATAAACCAACTTAAGAACGGTGCAAAATCCATAGCCCCCCTTCAGTCTGTCCAACACGAGGGGCAACAAAGAGTGATCTTGCTTTTGATTAGGCAGCCGGGCATAAGCTGTGGCTGCAGCACCTCAGGAAATCTCACCTTGAAATAGATATTTGGCTTGCTTTTGTTCAGCCGGATTCCTACAGACTCCAGTTCTTTCTCCAGCAGGGCCCTGCAGGGACACTGTACATTAGCACCTGTTATACTGAGCTCCGTTAAACGAGAGCCAGATGTTTCCTTTTTGACTATCATCTTTAGCTGAATATTGACACAGCCTTCACATAAACTTGCGCTGCAGCATACAACCACAGCTAATGCAGGAGAAAGTCTGTGGTGGAAACCTAGCATGACATCCTCATCTCTGAACAACCATCCTGCAGGAAGGATCCTTTAGCTGAGAAGCCTGAGACAAGACTCCTAGAAAGCACTGTAAATGCTGTTCCCAGTTAGCCAGCAGGCTTCTAATGGAGTACAACCTCCATCTCACACTCAAGAACTTAAATACCTATTCCCAAACGCGCACAGCTCGCCCCATTTCACAGAGCTGATGCGTTCTCTGGGCATATGGGAACCCTTGATCCTGGCCTGCCAACCCACAGTCTCACGCGCCCAGAAGCACATACTCACCTCTGTACTTCACCCTTTGTGGCATCCAGCATCATAATAACAACATCTGCCGTCCTGGCTACCGCTATCACCTGCCGACCTCTGCCCTTCCCTGACAAGAGAGGAGACGACTGTTTATCAGGGAGGGAAAACAGCTATGAGTTCTTTGACAGATGGGGACTCCTACCTCACACAGCTGCTTGGAAACAAGAAAAAAGATCCTGCAGTCCTGTATTGGCTGTAATCAACTGTTGGGGGGCGTATGAGGGAGCATATCTGGCCTGTTCCTGTTCTCTTACATGCAGCACAAACCCAAACAAATACTCTTTGCGGCTGCTGCTCCACCACTCATTACCCTCATTACCCAGACTAGTGAGTGTAAAGCTGTCTCTGTACAGCTGCACAGGTTGAGATGACATCTCTGCCTGCAGAGCAGGCATTCGCAGACATGTGCAATCATAGCAGTTCCAGGTGGTAAAGACAGGTTACCCAGAAGAGTGATACGGGCCCAGGGTCCCCATGCAGAGAGACTACACCTTCTGCTCAATTATTAACAAGGCCATATTCCTCCGAGAAGAGACCATTAGGAAATTTTCCTAAGTTTCATAAGGCTTCTTCTGACAAGACTAGCCAATGAGGCGACGAAGCAGAGGGACAAAGCTAACATCTCTTCCCAAAATCAGGAGTCATGGGAGGACTGGCAGAAACTCAGGAGTTTAGTCAAGAGAAGCTACTGTTTAGCTGTAATTTCCCCCTCCGCCTCTCTGGTGTCTTTCTTTAGATTTCCTCTCTACCAGATGAGCAAGATAACATTCATACAAGAAAGTGAGAAGTGACTGGCTTGCTTTGGCTCCCACCTCCAGAAAAGCATCTTTCTGCTACATTTAGAACCTTACATAAGCTCAGGGATAAGAACCGTGCCTCATTTTCAAGATCAAGAACTCTAAAATTTGGAAAGCCACTGCAGGAAGTGCTGGCCCAGCAAACCTGCTAACAGTTCACTATTGAGAGTAAATCCTTAAGTTGCATGAACATAGAGATCGGCCAACCTTGTGCTGCCCCTTCGATGATCCCAGGCAGATCCAAGAGCTGAATATTGGCTCCTTTGTACTGAAAAGGAAACAGAAGGATGGAAAGTTGAAAGTCTCGTGCAGGGCATCTAAACCGCTTTGAAAGCTCTAAGCAAGAACTAAAGTCCAAAGCCTGCAGACAGCGGAACTGAATGAACCTGATGGAGCAGGGCAAGTTTGCACAAAGCTGATGAATGTATTTTGTGGAAGCAATCTCCAGAGTAATTCCTATTAAGCAGTTTTCAACAACTCTGGGTCATACTGCAGTACGTTAGGTTCTGACCTCCTAAAGCGTCAGATGATTGCGGTTCAACAAAGCACCAGGGAACCGGCACAACACAAAAGTAGCATTACCCTGAGTTGGTGAAATGGAAAAGAAAGAAAAAAACCAAAACTTACTTTTCTGTCTAACACATAAAGCACTGTAACAAGCAATGTCACCATCTCTTATTGGTAGGATCAGAATTATTCAGCTGTGTTGCAGGTCTTACAGTACCAGGAAATAACGGGAGACTCTTCTTCATCAGAGCTGCAGAGCCATTCGCTTCCAAGCTACTGTTGTGGTGAAGCCCTAAGTTCTAGCAAGTGACTGGAGTTAAAGGTCACATTTGAACGTGTTACAATATTTGTATTCATTTTAATACCAATAGAGTTGCTTTCATTAGTCAACTTTGCTTTCAATTCTGATCCAAAATTTCCCATTACTCTTGGATGTTTTTCAGTTTGATGCCCTTTATCATTTGCTTTACTGATGGATGCTTAGAGCATCACTAGTAAAACTCCTCAAGGACAGGAGTAGTTGTATTTTCTTTCCAAATTGATTACAGTACAGATTGCCTCTTTTAAAGCTTCATTAAAAACAAATCTGTCCAGGTTTCTAGCCATCTGGTCAATGGCGCCAATAGTGGTTATAAAAAATTCAGTTGAGAATTGTCTTATTGCTCTGGTCAGTCTAACTGCAGTATCTGAAATCTCAGTCAGGCAGTCAATCCTGAAGCGCTGTGTGGCCTATGGAAATGCTAAATCAGCACTGCAGGTTGCAGAGACCCTGATACTGCAAACACTCAAGACCGCCTGAAGTTTATAAAGTAGAAGTCAGCAGAGATCTTTGGACAACACTGCACTTCTTATCTTCCGCTTCCCAGTGGTAGCACAAGTGTAACTGGTGCAAACAGACATGTTCACAAATCTCAGTTTCTTGCCACTATTAGCTTCTGCTACAGGGAGGAGACTCCTACTTACTTCTATGACTCCTGGGATACATGTCAGGGTTGTGAACTCATAAGACGCAGCTTCACTGGCAGTTGAGGTCATTAAACTCAAAAACGTGGACTGAAATGCAAGATATCACCATCACTAGAGATGCTCAAACAATAGCACTGGTAAACGTTTAGCAAAACATAGAATACAAAAGTGTTTATCAGCGGCACTGAGAAGACACCGATCGGCTTTTAAAAGCTGTGTTGTGGCTATTCTGGGCGCAGGGATGAAAGCGGTAACGTGGCTCAGCCAGGACTTTAATTGAATGAAAGACTGTTTTCATCCATTTTCTTAGCAGTGCTGTGGCTGGACAAGAGCAGGTTTCAGGCTGTACCACAGTGCTCCACACACAAGACAGAGGGCCATTTTCCCTCGCTCTAACTTTCAGCTCTCAGCGCACAATAACTTTCTTTCTGTTCACTAATGGAAAGAAAGTGAAACACAAAAAGACAACTCACATTTAGAAAAACGCATTTGCAGTGATTGGTGACACCTGGAAAGTGCACATGGTAGAGGATTAGCTGAGATACTCACTGACCTTACCCACAGAAGGAAAACCAATCAGTGCCACCCTGGCATCTCCAGATTTCATCACATCAAAGCCCTCTCCTTTAGCTGCGGAGGATTTGGAGGGTTCTAGTAACTGAGCTCTGTATTTTGCAAGCTTTGCCTTCAGCAGGCCGAGATGGTACTCAGTAGCTGGAATAACACAAACACAACAGTTGGTTAACAGAAAGTTGCTGCTAATTCAGTTCTAGAAATAAGAGTCTTCACAAAAAGGAACACTGTGGATCTTAGCATTTTAGCTATTGCCGGGCACACTAACCTGCCCTCAGATATTCTACAAACTTTTGCAATGTCGGCCATCGAAAGCAAATCTGCTAATAACTTGCACAAAAAGATCAGGCTTGAGGGAAACTAGCAGCTAAAAGGATTGCTGGGTAAAGGAGTAAACTAGAGGGAGACCAGGTGCAGGAGCAAACAGAGGTGAAAGGAGCCAGTCAGGGAGAACAAGACCACCACAGGGGGAATGGTCACTCTTGGGCAAACACTCCTTACACCAGAGCAAGACCACTCCTGCAATATTTGTCACTGCAGAAATGGAAGATTTTTTTCCCCCTGCTCTTGTCAGTTTTTAAAGATACCTTTAAGTCAGAGCTGATACACATGAAAGCATGTTATTGACTTATTCCTAGCAGAAGATCTGAATTTACACCTAATTTGGAAAAAGATAATTCAGAAAAAAGGTATTCCTTTGTAACAGAGAAGCAAAAGAAACCCAGGGCATTACAGGATTTGCTATTTTTCCTGTTCCGTTATTTATGATTTAAGCCTCCGGAAGCAGCAAAGGGCTGCGGCAGACAGCCCCGGGCCCAGGTGCCAGCAGCACGCAGGGTCCTTGCCCCAGCTTCAAGGACCGCGAGGGCGCTCGCAGCGCTCCCGCTCGGCGTCTCCTCCAGGCGTGCGGCCCGAGGTTTCCCCACCAGCACAGGCCAGGCCATCAACAGGGTGGAAAGCAAGGGGCTGCCCAAAGTGGCAGGGACCAGCCCTGACCCCCCCGGCTGCCCCGGGGGGGCCCCCTCTTCC